GTTTTTTTTTTTTATCAGACTCACATAAACAAGGGCTACATGTATTTTATTTTTTAATTTAATTACTTTAATTACATTTTTTGGTAAAAAAGTTTAAAAAATTTTTTGRRRGAATAAAGATACTTTTTTTATAGAGTTTATTTTATTGAAAATTTTGACATTTCAACATTTTATTTTCATTGATCACACGATTTTTAGTAATTTTTTTAGTTTATAAATGAAACGGAAAAAATTGGTTTTTATCCGGGCGGTSAGCCCCCTCTACGGCTAATGGGTATATCCTCATGGGACATTCTGTATAATAGCTTAAATAAACACTGCCAATTTACGCCCGTTAATAATGGTTTGCAATGTTTGCATCAGTGGTCGGTTGGATTGCGTTATCTTTAATKAATATGTAGTTTTTCTATTTCGTATTATTACTTTTAATCCCTGCCGTCTTCTGCGCTAATGTTCATACTTCAGATAAATATTAAAACACACATTTATTATTATATAAAAGGCGATTCTATAATCTAGATAATACCGACCAATATGTTTGTTAGAAAATATGTGACATTTGAAAGTTATTCATTTTTTTTTTTTTGAGTTTACGGTATTTGCTGTTAAAAATTAAACTAAATATTATATTTTCATCTTAATTGATATTCCCTATTAACCATAAAAAAAAATAGTTAGATGAAATATTTGTCCAAAGAGAATACATTAAGTCCAATAATTGATTCTATTCATTTATAAGTTCATTTATCAGTCTTCAAAATGATGTAAAGGTTTATACTCAGAATCTTTGAGTTTTGTAATAATGAAGATAGTATTCCTGTTTATTTTATAAAAAGGTGATAATGATAAATAATTAATAAATTGTTGTTATTAAAAATACATACCTTTTATTTTTTAACAGTACAATTATGTGTTTTTTTCAACTCTCGTGATCATTATTCACTATTTTAAAATAGAAGTGCATTAATGATTTGATTATTATTGTGATTTTTTTCAAACATTCAAAAAAATATTAATTCATATATCACCAGAACAATTAAGTCTTTAAGTGAAAAAATTTACATCCTATTTTAAAGTTATTAAAATTTATAGTGTACGTACAATGAAGTTAAAACTACAACTAAATAACAATATTTTAACAAATAATCTTAAATATTAATAATAAGCAAAATTAACAAATTGAATAACAAATGTTATTGAAACTTATAATGAGTTAGTAATTTTTTTAAATGTTAACCAAATACCATTTTCTGGCATTGTAATTAAAGCCTTTTTACTAAATCGTAAAGGAACTTCAGTCCTTTCACATGGTTCTGTTTCAAATTTTGTTAAAATCTCGACCAAAGCCAATTTCATTTCGAGCTCAGCAAAACGTTTTCCTATTGAAATAAAATTACATTTTTTATGCTCAAAATAATATAGGTATTCTATATGATTATTTTAATAATATACCTATACAAATTCGAGGTCCATCTCCAAATGGAAGATAAGTACCACTTATACGTTTACTTTTTTCTTTAGGTGAAAATCTTTCTGGATCAAATACTTCAGGATCCGTAAAATACTTTGGATCGTAATGTAGTGAATAAATAGGAATTATTACTTTTTGGCCCTTTTCAATAGTTAATGAATCGTTTGGTACGTGATATGTTTGTGATGCTTTTCTGAATAAAGCAAAGGTCGGCGGATACTTACGTAGTGTTTCTAAAATTCATAATGTTTATAAGCTTACATTTTCAAGAACATTTTAGTACTAAGAAAAAACAATACATTTGTAAAAAAAAATCTAAATAGTTTTAATAATGAATTTAATATGCAATTCAAAAATCACGAATATGATACAGACGGTACAGTAATACTAGTTGTTTGTTTTGTAATATTAATGCGATTGATTAATGAATTATGGTAATTCATTAAACTAAAAAAAATATGAATTGACAAAATCTCTGTGTACTGTAGTTTTTAATTCTAATACGATACTATAAATACTAAACCTCTTTAAAATATTCGTAAAATAATTTAATATTAATTCAATAATTAAGTACTAATCTCACATTATAATTTGTTGAAATAAGAATAACTAAAACCACAAATTCTGATAAAATAAATCTAAAAATGTTCGAACATTAAAAAATTAAAATTTATACTACGTATTTAAATCAAAACTTTTAATCATAATTCAAATTTTAATAACAAACATCTCTCATCCTCTCTTAAGTAAATGTCATGACGTTTCGTATTTCCCGGTAAGTTTATTAGGACGATAAAAACTTCCTGAACCATTCTTTACCAGTCTACCACAAAATGTCAATAAAATAAATACATTATTGTGATATCAATCGATCAACTCAGTAAGATAATTAAAATAATGGATATTTGCATAGTTACCTGCTAACACCATATCTAAGTAGTTTAAATCAATCAACAAATCGTTATTAATCAATCCGTTGTTTTTCGATAATTTCGAATTAATTTCTTCACGTACTTTGTTTTGGATATGCTTCTTTAACGCTAGCTCGTATAAACAAAAACTAATAGCAGTAGATACGGTTTCAAATCCAGCAGCAAACATAACAAATGCATTGGCAACAATTTGTGATTCTGAAAATCTTTCTATCAAGAAATTKAATTAAATCTACATACTTAGGTCCAATTATATTTTAAATTKTTGAGAAAATGAATTTTTACCTCCTTGAGGTATATTTTTATTTAAAACCAAATCGTTTCTCGCTTGTATCAAGGTTTGAACAAAATCATTTCTGACTATATTGTTTTTTTCCCTATATGTTATCGTCTCATGAAATGCTGAATGGAAAAAGTCAGTTGCGTCCGCTGGGAAATCCTTAAATTTTAGAATATTTAAAAGCGCAGGAGTGATCATCAAACTCAATTCCCTTAAATGTATTCTTAGTGATGGCGTGAACAAAGACTTTCCGTACTTCCGAAATGTAGAATTATCATCACTTACGGCATTTAATTTGAGACCAAAAATGCAAGTGCCRATGACGTCGGTTGAATATTTTCCCAAAATGTCTCGCACTTCTATTTTATTGTCGGKTTTCGTTACGTTCTTTTGAATATTTTTTATTAGCTCATCACCACACTCTTTGATTTGATCGTACATTAGCTTTAGTTTGCCTGAAGTAAACGCTGGGCTCAATATTTTCCTGATTAACTTCCACTGAGGATTTTCCATGAAAAATAAATGGTTCGACAAGGGATTTACTGAGAAATCTGAGTAAATACCACGGTTAGGGAAATTTGAGAAGTCTTTGATAAGCACATTGTTTATTATTTCCGGATCGCGGATCATCAAATACGGAGTCCTCATCTGAAATAAACCACCGTATTTGTAGCCAGCCAACTCATAGTAAATTKTCCTGTAAAAATCTATGGGATGTTGCAATCCAAAGGCTACATTAAGGAAATTACCGAACAATGGAATTGGTCGAATATAAGGCACGTTGATTTTTTCCCATTTATTAAAATTTGAAGTACAAAAATAATAAATAATCGTAAAAATTAATAAACATGGCGTTATTATATTTATCCACCAAATAGAGGCGAATGGAAACATYGTAAGTAAACAAAAACCCAGAATACAACTAACTCGAAACGCACTAAAGTTACAACTGTATTAGCTTAAACTATTTTCATTAGATATAAAGAGAATAATATATTATCATTAGTTATCCTTGAATAATTATATAATTCGATATAATTTTTAGTGGCGTTTTTAAATTCACAAACAATAAGAAAAATAAATAATATAGCGTGACACATGTGAAAAATTGGTAAATAACTACAATAAGTTATGTTGCCTTAAATTAATTGATTTAATGAATACTTATCATGCAATTACTAATCATAACTATGTTAAGTATTAAAGACAATCCATGCTATGTAGTAAAAATGTCAGGGTTAACATAAATATGAAATATATATTCATCTCATGTAATTTAGATTTACGATGTGTTAATAAAATTAATTACATTTGTTTTTTGTACCAAATAGGTATATTAAATTATTGGTCAATATTCAATAATACAAACAATATTGCATGTGAATGTGTATTAAAATATTAATATCATACATTTAACATGCTTAAAAAATATGTTTTAGTCATACTGATACTTATAATTTACTATGATATATTATAATATTGGGTTAACAACCAAA